TTGAGGACCGACATGATTGAAGATGAATTGGCAAATCGAATTTCCTTATTCTACGCATACCCGACACCAATGCTGAAAACTGTTACGGATGTAACCGCCCTCTTTGCTAAGGTAAATATGAAGTAATAAAATTCAAAAGGAGAGAAATGAAATAAATAGAAAGGAAAGAAGAAGAGAAAGGGAAAAAAAAACTAATCTTCTACATCATCCTAACAGAACAACCCTGACAGAAGTGTATTGGAATGTTTGTCGTTGTTGGCTGCTGGATGTTATCATTCCGTTATGAAGAAAAGGTATATACAATATAATTATGAAAAATCTTTCAGGCTAAAGATAACGAATTAACTAATGCACCCCATTTAGAACTCAACGACCCGAAACAACGGCTTTTTGCCTAAGGGTGATGGTTGTATCTATTATTCTATATGATCACATCGAGCCACGTGGAGTTTTCGTTAAACAATCACCCATCAACGTGAGTCGAGTGTTATGTTTTGTTTATTCGAATATATATGTATATATATGTTGTCATCGATCTAGCGCCAACTATTCATCATGAAACAAAATTTTTAACAAACAGATTAAATGTTCCGTGAAAGCTATCCAAACATATGGCACAGGTGAATACACAAATCTGATGTCCGCCTTACGTTTTAGCACCAAGCATCTGAACGACGACTCCACGCCGAAAAACATTAAACAACTATTAAATAACAGTTGAATTGCGTGACTTAGGACAAAAGAAAAGCTTTGTTTGCCATCATATATTTTATTTTTCTGACTTCTCCCGTCGTCCACTTATGAATGATCGTATTGGACCAGGCTGCGCCTGCTGGTTTAAATATGATTATTTTGGGGGACGGTAAATAAACGGTCATGAAGTTTTTGTCAAAGTTTGAGCATTATGATCATGTAACGCTTTAGAAAAAGTAGATTATTTGGAGAATCATATATTAAGGTGTTAGAACGGTTTTATTTCATTCTCATTAGGATTATTCCTCCATGCATGAACTCATAAACTAGTATCTATTTTTTTATTCATTCATTCATTCAACACTAATAAAAGATAACTAAATTATATTAGGTTTAAAAATTAAATAACCAATCACGTTTAATTTACAAAGATTCTGTTGTCTATTGATGCGAGAATAATGTTTATCTATTGGCCACGTTCCCTAATAGTTCAAATTCATGCAATAGGATTTACGGAAATAACGAATGTTTGAAAAAAAAAAAAAAAAAATGAAACAACACATCATTAATAATAATAAGCATAAAATACAATGAATTTCATTAAAATTTCAAAAAAGAGATTAGATTGTTATTTTTTTTTGCACTTCATTTGCCTATGAAATTATGAAAGTAATATGTCGCATAACTACAAATGATCTAATTGTTCACTTTTTCTTCAAATGTCCGACAGTTTATAAGTTTGCAGCGAAAGTATAGACCTCACATCCTCGGTGAATCTTAACGCATCCAAGAATGGTAACAAGTCCAATAGTGCCTCATCGTGTTGGTCACTGATCCAACCTTCGATCGGTATCCCATTCTCTGTTCGAAATAAGAAGAACGTTTTTAAAAATGTTTCATAGGAAACAAGCACAAATATTTGTTGATTTACCTCGATGCATTGCATAAGAAATCGGCGAATTATCGATTATGCATACTCTTGAAAGATCGGGTTCAACGATGGTCAAATCCTTGATATATGCCCCATTCCGATTAGTGCAAGACTGGTGTTAAAGAGAAAGATTAAAAAGGTGTAATGTATTTATGTTAGGTCGATTGTTCAAGATCCGAATCATAAATTTTGTTTTTGTACCTGACGAAAAAACCTGTTAGATATCAAATTTTTATTTGGGTCTAGCCAGTCAATTACCGGATCCGCATATTCTGGCATAGAGGCGGTAAAGATTACCACCTTGTACCATTCGCTAACCTAGCGGTTTTGATTATTAATGAAAATAATCTCGTTAAAATCACAAATCTACCTCGATTTCGTACCTTTTTCAGAAAATGATCCACGTGTGGTCTCTTATAAACATGATATAGGCAAGCGTGATTGTCCACCATAACTTCAATCATATGCGCGTTAGCCCGTGATCCATTAGAAGTCGAATGTATCAGCGTCTCGTCCAAATCCAAAATAAGCGTTTTCGTTTTCATCAAAGGGAATGATGACGATGATGTCATTGACGCTTGATTCACTTTTCTGGCGTTGCTTCTCACTCGAAGTGTCGAATTGACTGATTTGGGTGGGTGAATGTTATCAATTGAAGCGATCGGCTGTGATTTAAATCGTGGAGAGCGACGTAACGGTGGTTGTGACGGATTTATGTTGCTGCTACTAATGCTATTATTATTATTATTATTATTATTATTATTATTGTTATTATTACTCGTGTCCGAAGATATTGCTCCTTGTACCATATATGCATGCTCGCCGGTGGAATGCCGTGCAGTCGTTTTACTGAAAATATTTGCTATATAAGTACATATTATTGTCCAGTAGTGCAATAAAAAATAGGAGGGAGAAGTCGTTGAGGGCGACGGGGTAAGACATTCCGATAGATTGCTATTACTATGGACATTATCGTCACCATTCACTGTATTAGATGACGAGTCCGAGGACGTAGCATTAGAAAGTGTTGAATAGCTTTCCGGGGAAATAAGAGATGAAGACGAAGTGGGCGCTACCATTGCTAGCATTGGCTACCAAGGTTCTTGCGGTCGTTTTTGTCGACTCGTATACCAATAATTTAAAGATCGATGTTTTTGTCGCCGAAATTTATATAAGCTTTGATATCTAAGGTATATCATAAAATATAAGAACAATACATACTATATAGCCTTAGTCAACAAACTAATGCGAAGTTCGAAG